TTCATTGATACCCTCCGGAGCTTGGCCTACAGTTCATAGCGATTATGATAAGTAAAAATAATAATTTATATTTAAGGTGCTTATAGCCATACTATCAACCTCAAAAAATATTTCAAGCTAAATATTTTTTCAACGTACTTTGATACGCAGTACTAAACGAAAATCCAAAGTATAAGAAGAACTAAAAAATAAATGCCTTGAAAGTCTGAGGTTCCAATTGCGTAAACATTTATTTGTATGATTTAATTTTCGAAAAATAATATGGCTAGCCTCTCTTAAACTTTCATATGTTATAGAGAATTGTAAATTAAAATAGGTTTTTTTATTTTACAAATATTAGATGTGAAATCTTTTTTTCTTCTCTATTTCCCCTTAATTTCTAAGACCTTATTTAAGAAGTTAGTAAGTATAAGTATATAGCGAGAAAGACTCGTTGCTTTCTTTCGCTATGATATACGCGGGTATATATAGTTATATAGCTGTAGTCGGCATTTCCATGCACACCACTCCTCTCTCCGTAGGCACATATTCAGTATACCCCTTCCACGCGTCTCCGAAGTATGTGCCTACATGCCCATTTCCACGCGAATCTGTAGGCACACACTCGGTATACCCCCTCCACGCTTCTCAAATAAAAAAAAAAATATGTGTGCCTGGTTCGACCGCTTGGCCGCGAAGGGGCGCTCGAAACAGTGGCCAAAAGTGAACTCGCGCCGTAGCATTGCAGTCAGCAATCTCTCTACTAATCTCTGGTACGGACCCTGGGTCCAGCCGATTAGATATGCACAAGTGGCTGATCGAGGTCCACGAATCCACCCTTTATCTCTATGCATTTTAAGTATTTTGACCCCCTTAACATAATGAGCAAAGGGGTGGATCATTTGAATCATTGCCGTTCAATTGTTATTAAAAAATTTTAGTATCAAATCAAGAAATCCGGTTTTTTGCTTCAAAACATTGGATAACATGCCTTAGCACATTTCGAACAAAAAAACCTATCGGGATGTGTATACCTAAATTCCGTTGATTTTGAGTAAAAAATTCCTTCAAATCGAAAAAATGTATTTTTTACGATTTTTGACTACGTGTTACTCAGCTGCTATTGCATTTTTTTTAATTCACCTGGACTTAAATTTTACCTCAAAGTATACACGTTTCAATAAAAAAAAATTTATAAACGTCAGTTACTTCTAATACTTAACAACTGCGGTATCGCTGACCTGCGAATGATTATTTTAATAGCCTACTGTATATCTACATACACAATCTGCTCACATAACATGTTAACCTAATCGATAGACAGCTAGGAGGATAAAAAATGACCATTCGTACATCAGTGATACAGCAGTTGTTAGGCAACTGACCTGTATTATTTTTTTTTTATTTAAATAAACATGCTTTCAGATAAAATTTTAGTCCAGGTGAGTTAAAAAAAAAAAAGTCAATAGCAGCGGTGTAACGCGTGGTCGAAAATCGTAAAAAATGCATTTTTTCAATTTTCAGGAATTTCTTACTCAAAATCAACGGGATTAAGGTATATACATCCAAAAGGTTTTTTATTATAAATGTGCCAAAGAATGTTACCCAAATTTTTTTGGAGCAAAAAACCGGATTTTTTAATTTGTTACTAAAATTTATTATTATCAATTGAACGGCAGTGTTTCGAATGATCCACCATTGTTTATCGTGTTAAGGGGGTCAAAATGCATAGAATAAAAAAACTAGGTTGGGTCTTGGTGGACCTCCGGCAAAAGTAAAAAATCCTACTCAAATGTTGTTAAACTCGGTATGATAAGAACTGAGAAAAATTAGAGTGCACCTAATTTCAATTGATCTTTAAGAATTCAATATTAAAATGGTGAAAATTTTATATTACGTATTCGAGCACGCTTGTGCATAGAATACTGTTAAGAATCAATTCCATTTCCACAAAACAGCAATAGCGCCATCTGGCGAGTAAATATGGAACTAATAAAACAAAATCGGTAATAAAGATTTGTGATTCTGGGTCCGTACCATATAACTATTTTTCTGTACATCGGCCTATGTTATAACATAGGCCTGTGAAGCAAAAAAAAGTTATATGGTACGGCCCCTGATACTTGTGGAAGTGTGGGAAGCGAATTTCATGTTTCAGGAACAAACCAGACCTGACCTGCCGCAAATCTCAAGACTCCATCGATCGACCTGTTCCATCCTGTTCGAGCTCGCCTCCAGAATACTAACGGATTATAGCTTTTGACAAGTCAGAACCAGCCCAACCCGTACCGGATTCTTGGAAGGAGAGGCCAAGGTCAAAACCTACGTAACTTTCTGCACGTCTTTCGGCCGATAAATAGAGCTGGAAAGGTCCCCTTCAGTCTAGTCTACTTCCGACAGTTGCCTACGGCGAAGTGCTCCACGTCAGTAAAGTGTTCAAAGTGATTCCCTCTAAAACTCTAAGGAGTACCCCTGTGTTGTTATAAGTTTCATGGTAGTGAAGTGATAATCGTGTTCCTGGGGAGAATTTCACCCAGGGTCGACACATCATCTCCTGGGAAAAGAAACCCGGGACATCATCTCCAGACAAGGGAGACTTGGACATTTCTTCCAAGGATAAGTCGCCATGACCTTGAGTCATCGCGAGGAAAGACAAAGGATACCTGGTGCATCAGCACCTTAACAAATATCAGGTGACGGACCGACTGCCCAAGGCCAGCCTAGGGACAAGACACGCCATCTATACCTTCGTGCTCCGTGCCCGAGGCTCAGGTCATAACAATACATATACCTTAATATACTACTTATGTTATGATACGCGCCCTTTACGTACTTCCATATTTGCTATGATATATGTAATGAATATACGAATTTTTGGTCATGTAATGATGTAATGCAGAATGAAATAAAAATTTTCAGTATACTGGGCCGAAAGAAAGTACTTTTGTGTCCCATTAAGTGGGGCAAAAATTTCTTTTGTTTAAAATTAATATTCGTGCATTTGATATGACATTACATTACAATAAATTCTTGTTGGAATCTTTATAATTTTGTGACAGAAAAAATATTTTTTTTAAATTTTGGCTACCGTAAAAGTGAAATAATCCACTATATCTTGTTAAGATTAAGGAAAAAAACAGACATATAACTATTTGCCATTATAAAATTGTAATTCTTACTTTCATTCTTGTCATATAATAACTTATAATTTAATATTAAAANTTATAAGTTTTAAAATTATAAATATTAATATAAATAAAAAAATTCAAATTTTATAAACGTAATATCATGATTCAAATTTGTAAAATAAGTACTTTCATCACTTGCATAATTTACAATAATGTAAAATCAAACGCGACTTGAAAAATGAGAACTTTTCCCTTCAAATTTCATTATACATTTTGAAGTATGATCAATACAGCACATTGAACAAAACAAGAACCCCTATGAACCATTAGATAAGGATGAATAAACTTACAAAAGGCTAGAATTATGAAGCATCTGTATGATATCTCCAACAGAATTAAGCTTGTCTGATGATATTTTTAACCAGTAATTAAAAGCATGTGCAAGTTTTCCTCTGATTTGTTTTCCTGGTACCTGGAGTATGTAAGTAAATGGTTGTAGTAATTTCTGAAAAACAAATACCACAAAAAAAATATATAGTTTGATTACATAAACACCTCATTTAATTTGTTTATTTTAAATATTTGACTCATTTAGTTGTATGAATGAAATAACATAGGTACGGTAATAACAACAATTTTTATGGAAATTCAATGAATTAAATAGTTGACTGGCATGGTTGAAACATAAGAAAAGTTAAAATATAAAATAAGTATGTACTTTCTAAATAATTTATAATAACCCTCTAAATAACATCATTTATTTAACATGTTAGTGGCTTTAGCTCAGACAAGCTAGAAAGCATCTTAAACTGTGTAGGTCTACATTGAAATATACATCTGTCTCGCAACATTTTACTCTTAAAGATTTAAATAAATCAATGTTGAGATAATAAATAAAATTAACTACAGTAATAACTATAAAAATAAAGTTTGTACAATAAATTGGATATCCAACACTTTGTAAATTAAGAACCTTGATTCTGAAAATGATGTTTTGGTATGATTCATCACATCATTGCCCTACATGCCCTATAAAGCACCTCATGCATAGTTAAACAGGCAAATCCATACATGCATGCAAAAAACTATTCACTATGTTCGTCACGAAATGCATGCCACGAATCAGAAACATATCAAGAATAGAGAAAGCACCTATTAATAATAAAGATGAAAAAAACATACTTTTATCAGAAACTGTAAAATAATATTCTGTATTCCCCGCAGTAACAGAAAAGTACGATTCGTCCTGAATAAATAGGAAAGCAATATAAAATGATTCTAACCTCGTCCTGCTCCTTGTCGCCACTCCGGGAAAAAGGCACACCATTCCTGCAATCGTTATCCATACCTGCATAAGTGAAATCTGTCAAGTCTAGGGCTAGGAATGCTCAACTAGGCGAATCTAATCGTGAGTTAGTTACTGCTGCTGCGTTATCTCGAAACTGAGAAGTGGAGAGAGTCCGGCTTTGTGAACACATCAAGAATCTATATCAAACCGCTATTTGTTTACACAAGCTACACGTCACACTGTAGTTAAGGATCAAGGTTATCCGCTACGGCTGCCTTCTTTCACAGTTTCACACGCATGGGGTTATGGGGTAATTTATAATTTTAACTTGTTGCTTGAAGAAGCACTATGTTCTATAACTTCGTAAAACGTGCGTCACATGTGTAAAAACTGCGAAATAATCAGTCTGTTAGTATATAGGTGTGTTCGGGGACCGAGATTGGGCGTACGAAGGAAAGCCGCACTCGCCGACGCTCGCCCGAACTTGATAGTCTGCATGGAGCCGTACCATATAACTCTTTCCGCTTCGCGACATAGGCCCGCAAAGCGAAGAAAAGTTATAGTATGGTACGGACAGAGATTAGTAGAGAGATTGCTGACTGCAATGCTACGGCGCGAGTTCACTTTTGGTCACTGTTTCGAGCGCCTCGTCGTGGCCAAGCTGTCGAACCAGGCACACATATTTTTTTTTTATTTGAGAAGCGTGGAGGGGGTATACCGAGTGTGTGCCTACAGATTCGCGTGGAAATGGGCATGTAGGCACATACTTCGGAGACGCGTGGAAGGGGTATACTGAATATGTGCCTACGGAGAGAGGAGTGGTGTGCATGGAAATGCCGACTACAGCTATATAACTATATATACCCGCGTATATCATAGCGAAAGAAAGCAACGAGTCTTTCTCGCTATATACTTATACTTACTAACTTCTTAAATAAGGTCTTAGAAATTAAGGGGAAATAGAGAAGAAAAAAAGATTTCACATCTAATATTTGTAAAATAAAAAAACCTATTTTAATTTACAATTCTCTATAACATATGAAAGTTTAAGAGAGGCTAGCCATATTATTTTTCGAAAATTAAATCATACAAATAAATGTTTACGCAATTGGAA